AAAAAAAAATCAAAATTGCATAAAAAGAATAGAAAGAATATAACTTAATAGTTCAAATTACTATTGCACTTGTGAACCCAGTGACCAATTAGAATTTAGATGGAAAATGCCACTATCGCACGTAGAATAGAACAATTTAGTAAACAGAAAGTTCACATGTTATCACTTTTGTTTTCGATCTCTAAAATCATGCCGCAGATTAGAATTGATATGTTTACAACAAGTTTAACAGATTGTGCTTTAAGGAAGTGTATATCATATTTTCATACAATAAAGTCTTAAAACATAAAGATTTTGCTAGCAAAAGTGACGACATTATCTTATTGATATATGCTTAAGTTTAATTAGCGGGATAATTTCGCTCCCAAATATTAGTAGTTTAGCCTGATTAAACTAGTATATTAAGAAAAAGAAAGGATATGATTTATAATATTGTACCTAGATTCGGACTTGTAAAAGATAGACAAAAATATTAATAATCCTTTTTAACGCATATCTTAGTAATGAGCTTAAGAGTACTTCATTCTTTTTTTTTTTGGCATTCCAAAATTTAATTAATTGAAAAAAAAATACTCCGTAAGTAATGTAGTGTTCTCTAAAGTTACCCATTGCATGCATGACAACCATCCATTAGAAATTACATAGAATGAATTTATGATCATTTCTTATTTGGAGATTAAAAGTTTAATGGTTGCTAATTAATGATACTCATTCTACCATCATTTTGTTAAAGTTGTTGCTTTGGTCACCCATTATTCTTCATAGTAAAAATTAAAAAACACAATACAAATATAATGTATACATTAATGTATTACATACTCGTATTAGATTAATTAAAGGATTAATTAATTGTAGGTGGTAGTTAGAGTTGCCATGTTCTTAACCTGGTTGGGTGAGCTTCTTATTATTCCATCGACCGGCCAAGCTGTATAGCATGCAACTATTTCAGGCAAACTTTTGTAATGTAGCTCTTCCCTTAAAAACTAATCCGTATTACATTCATTAGCTAGCTAGGTGACGCGGTTGTTAATTGTCCGCATATATTCCTTCATGACTCGTTCACTTTTCCAACCCAAGCCCTTAAAATAAGTTTGTCTAAAATAATTGAGCATCTGGCTACATATACTATATACGAGTTTCAGTTAGTTAATACTAGAGTTGATCATGGATCGGAGTCTAGTTCCAAAAAATAGTTGATTATAAGTCGAGAAGTTTTTCCCTAACTCCAAATTTGAGATCGGGTTGAACCAATCCGATTCGAGCTATATTTATATATATGGAAGATTATAACTAGATGGAGTCAAGATTGATCTACTCTAATTTAAACAGATTGTTGTCTTTTTTTTTTTCTTCACATTATCATGCACTCGTGCATCATTACTTAAACAAAAAGCAAGGAAAAAAGTAGCTTAGTTAAAACTTCTGTGAACAAAATTTGCTATTCACGGATACACCTACTGACCTACTAAGTGGCTATGTTCAAGTAATTGTCTATTGACTCTATATTCATCGGATTTGCTGCAACTTGCGAGTAGTTATATTATCATCTACCCTAAGCAATTAATTAAACCAACATAATTAATGCAAATTAGAGAGCAAAAGGTCAAGAAGTACGTGTTATTATACTATTCAATTCCCTCCAAATTAAGAAAAGGTAGTGCTTATTAAAAGTCTAGTAGTACAAACTACTTTTCTTTTAATACGTACTCCCCAAGTTTAATGTTATTTGACCACTAAATATATGGACATGATCCTCAAATTCATTAATTATTGAAAATTTTAACCTTTACAAGCATACAACATAACCATAACTATTACAAACTGCTAACGCAGCAAACGGGTTTCCCCTCTAACCTGCCTTATAAAGGGGAGCTAACCGTGTCAATATAAAATAAACACTCGTAAGTGGCGGAATTGCTGCGCATAATAAAAAGGAATGTACAACGTCCATACTCAATGTGCATAAAACCACATAACCTCCCCCCCCCCTCCATATGTTCACTCAATGTATATATGTTCGAAGCTTTTTAGTGTGTAAGCTCTTTCCCCTTACGTTGTTTACATTTCTTTTTAGACTTGGTGATGACTCTCAAATCATTACATAATCAGTCATTATAATCATTCGAGCAATCAAACATACCAATTTAATTCTTGAATAATTAGTGAGAACATAACCTTTAATATATATTGAACCTTTTTAAATCTATCTCGGTATCAAAGACACCTTAAACGCATAATTAATGCGCCATAAATCTTATCCTTTAAGTGCACTTAGCCACCAAAATATATATCCTCGTGTAGAGTGTACATAAACACTTAAATATATAGCTCATTCCCATGCTTATATCATCAATAAAAATTATATGAACCATAATAAAATTCTCTTTTAATATTTCAAACTCAATTAAACATATAGTTTAGGGCTTGTTTGCCATCAGTTTTGGTTTTTCAGTTTTCTGTTTTTTTGAAAACCAAAAACAGGAAATAAGAAAAAGGTGTTTCCACTTTTTTGTTGTCAGTTTTCAAAATTATCATAATTTTAATAAGTTTATATAATTTTTTATTCATTATGGGACACATATCATATACTTTTAGAAAACAAAAAAAGAAAACCACAGCAATGTCAAACGAACCCTTAATTAAACATGTTCTCTATCATATCAATGATAAAAGTGTGGTTTATATTCATCATGCCAACATAATTAATTCCAATCATCCATTCACCACAAATAATCCATGCTTAAATCATTCACCAACACAAATCCAACCAACAATTCCAACAATAGCTATCATGATACTACCTTTGATTAATTAATCAAAGTCTAGCATGCTTCTATTCACTTAAATAATTACCAATTACGTACTCGAACGTACCTTGAATATGATCTTGACTAAATAAAGTCACTCACGTGAAAATCTCTTACAGTCCAAAATTACAAATAGACATTGACACCTATTTAATATAAATTTCCAGCCATATATAGGCCCTGTTTGGTAATTAGCTAGTAGCTGATTGTATTAGCTGGTTTGACTAGCTGGTTATAGTAGCTGAATTGACTAGCTTGTTATAATTAGCTGATTGTATAAAAATGTTTGGTAAATAATTGTTAATTGTTATCTGTTTTAGTGTATTTAAGAAACAATAAGCTAATTTTAAAAAGCTCTTATAATGAGCTTTTTCTAAAAGAGCTTTTTGTAATAAGCTATATACCAAACACCCAAATTACCTTTTTTAATTGGTCAAACATCTAATTGGACAAAATAAGCTAAAAGCTCTCTAAAAAGCTTTTTTACCAAACACACCCATAATTTACTAGCATGAAGAAGAAGATGATGATTAGGGATGGCAACGGGTCGGATATGGAGCGGGTCCGGATGGACCCGGATCCAGATCCGTTTTTGTATGTAGGATCCAGATCCGACCTGGATCTGTCGGGTCTAGAAAATGAAGACCCGGATCCGGATCCGTCGGGTCCAACGGATCCGGGTCCAAAACGGATCCAATATATTTTGCCTAATTTTTTGCAAAAAATGTAATTTTCGGGTCAAAAATTTTATTTCAAACTTACGTTGTTAGTTATTAAGTTCAACCCCAAATTAACCAACTTATACACTCATATTTTGAATTAAAATTAAAAACAATAAAAAAATACGATGTTACATATGAGCTAATGAAAAAACAACGATGATGTATATAATATAAGCATTCAAAATTCATCTCTTGAAAGGGTTAATCTTTATCATTACTAACATTATCAACATTTTTAATAAAGAAACAAACAATTTTAGTTTTTTTTAATAGGAAAAATAAAAAAATGGGTCCACGGATCTGGATCCGGGTCTAGGGCCCAGACCCAGATCCGTTTTTGTTAACAGGACCCAGATCCGACCCGGATCCGTCGGGTTCAAAATTTGAAGACCCAGATCCGTGAAAAACGGATCTGGGTCCATGGATCCGGGTCGGGTCCAGATCCATTGCCATCCCTAATGATGATGGATTAGAATATTCTTTCCGATACCTGATTGCTTGTGATTTTGAGTTTGTATGGTCCGGAAGTATGAATTCAAAGCTGTTGATATCCAACTTTTCGTTACGATTTCTTACTTACTTCCCTCCTTTGACCGTCTTTTGTGAATAATAAGTAAGGAAAAATATATTCATGTATGATCTTTTTGGATTCGTCTTAATAATAACTATCAAAATATATAACTTTTATAATTTTTACTTATGGAGAATTTAAGTTATTGATCGTTATGGAGATGTGATAAAAGAAACAGGTCAAGTAAAAAAGAACAGAGGAAGTATAAGTTATAAAGCTCAGCTCATTGGTAAGTTTCTTTACAAACATTATTGGAAGATTTAACTCTCAGCTCTAGTGTTGGTAAGTTTCTTTACAAACATTATTGGAAGATTCAACTCTCAGCTCTAGTGTAGACTTTATTTGTGCAGTCTCTAAATACAATGCCCTCGATGAACCGAATTTAAAGTCCTTGGAATTAGAATTAGGGTTGTTCCATTAAAATGTAAAGCAAACTTCGAATTAAAAATATTTGTAGCAACTAAATCACTTGAATTGAATCAGGCCATATTTGGGCTGGGGAAATTCCCTGTTTCTCTATGGTGAGAAACAAATTTGTTTCTCATAATGATATTTTCGTGAATAAATCAACAACTTTTTCATTATTGTGGGCTCCACAATTGAATAAAGTTCTTGGTGTATTTACGAAAATGTCATGTGAGATTGTTTCTCACCATGAGAAACTGGGGCATCCTCATTTGGGCTGATGGATCACTTAACAAGTTTCAGCTTAGTTAGTTAGCTTGTCATTGGGCCAGATATAGGCCATACGTAATCAATATTGAATATTGTAGAAGCCCATTAGAAATCTTTTGCTGCTAAGTTTTATTTAGCTCTATTTTTGAAAAATAGATAAAATTGATCTGAGCGTCACAAATTATTCAAAATGCAACAAGAAATAAACCTTGGGCTTCAACTCAAATCTTGAATTTAACTGTAAGCGACACTAAAAATATATGCTACTCTTTGTACTACATCGGATAATAACTACTCGTACTAGCTTAAATTAACCCTGTATTTGTATGTTTATGAAGGCAAGAAACTAACGAGGACACCAAAGAAACCTACAAAAGATTTGGCTCTATAAGATACGCTACTATGTAAATGTTGGTGGACTGGCTAATTTCACTGAAACATACTACTAACGGAGTCGTCGTCATGAATCCTCCAAATGGTTTCCCCCAAAAGGTTTGCTGTCGAAAGGACAGTCAGCTGGGGGAACAAGTTCTTTACTGCCATTGGAATTGTGTTTGTTACGATCACTTCCTGGAAACAACCACTGGACAATCTCTCAATTGCTGGTGGACTGCAAAACAAACATCAATAAATAAGATTAGCGACTGGTTAAGTGGTCGTGTAGTTTACTATATGATGGCCCAAACTTGTAAGATCACGAGTGTTTCTCAAAGCACTGAACGTAATCATTTTGCAACTCAGATGCCAAGTACCGGAACAAACACATTTTAAAGTGCTCTTGGCACAAATTTTCTGATGAATATAAAGCCTTGAAAATGGAGTGATCTCCAAAGAGGCTACAACTTGGTGCAAGGTAAAGGAGTGATCGTATGCAGCCAACTTTCTTAATGTAACAGGCCTTTTCAGGGACGAGCCAATAGTTGTGAGTTTCTTTTACAACTCATACTTTAAAACCTCTTCACAAAACAGAAACTTAAATTTTAAATATAAAAAATTCTTACCTAAAGACAGCATGAGTGCAACATGCATAGACTTCTCTAGCCCCCTCTTCATGCAGCAATTCTGCACCTTTTGTAATAGTACCTACAGTCAAATTTTTCATTAGAGTAAGTTTAGCCCCAAGTCTTAAGACTTGGATGTGACATCATTTTTGGTGGTCCCCATTGAAAATGATGTCATCAAATTTTTGTTAAGACTTACACAAATTTATCACTTTAGCCCTAACACTTAAATATTTGACATATTATATGTAGAAAAGTGTAAAAAAAAAAAGGGATAATAAAAATAAAAATGAAGTAGGTGAAGTGGGTCCCAATCTCAAGACTTAAGTTGAGTCTTGAAATTTCAAGAATCAACTTGAGACTTGCTTGAGATTTTTGAAGAAAAATGTGAAAAGTCTTAAGTATAAATCTTAAGACTCAAAATGATGATGTCACCCAAGTCTTAAGACTGGGGGCTAAACTTGCTTGTTCTCATTATTATTTACATACACAATACTCTCACAACCAAATTTTTAGAAATGTCAAAATAATTTAGCACGCTCAAACACCCAAAATCAAAAGACTAACCCGCTGTATAGCATTGTCCAATTGCTCATACAGATCCCCTGTACCATGGCATGGGCAGGGCAAATGGTGCAGACATTTACTAATGAAACAGGCTAGACATAGATTACTAATCCGTATTATATTAGGGGGATAAAATGATAAAAGGACATGGAAACAAAGCCCTCCATATAAAAACATTTAAGGAAAAAATGAGCATTGAATCCTATAAGCACTCTTCTGAGCTCCAAGAAAAAATAAGTCAAAAGATTTGCAAGACTTGAACTTATTACTCAGCAAAAGAAAACTTGTCACAACGGTAAAAGCTGAAAGTTATCATGTATACTACTTCCAGCCATGAATAAAACCATGTAGATAGCTATATGTATCGTTTTACAAAACAACTTACCAGCAGTGTCTATCATGTCATCCAACATAACAGCAACTTTTCCTTTCACATCACCAATAAGATTCATCACCTGCACCACAAAAATTCAGGTTTAAGCGCCGTAAGTTACTTTACCTTAATGAATACCAAACAAGATAAACATTATTAAAAGACAAATAAAAATTATAATAACAAGCAGATTGTGATATGCATAAGGATGAACCAAGTATGACTTCGATCATATTTTTTAATAGCATGTATTGGATTAAGCCCGTGAAGGAAGCACAGATTCTTATATTTGAAGATGATTCAATCATCTAAAGCCTTGGAATAATAGTGTTTGCCCTTAACAGAAAGAATATTAAGCACGTACTTGGCAATAACAAAAGGATAACTCAAATTCCTTTACTGATATGCCAGATTATTCAAATTCCTAACAAACTATTTTTGAGAAAATCACCTCAGCTACATTGTGAGCATGCCGTCTTTTATCCACAATGGCTAAAGGTGCATCAGACAGCTTTTTGGCAAAAGCACGGGCCCTTGCAACTCCTCCAACATCGGGGGAAACTACAACCAAGTCACTTGAAGCAATACCCTTTCTTGCTAGATAATCAAGTATCACAGGCTGCATGTATAATAATGAAAGCATCAGAAGTTGCAAATGATCATCTCTAGATGTCACCAACATTCATCAGTGCATGTATTCAAAACCATCAATCGTTACCTGACAGTATAAATGATCTATAGGAATATCAAAGTAACCCATTGATTGCCCAGAATGGAGATCACATGCCAGCACCCTTGTAGCACCTGCCGCTGTAATTTGATTTGCAACTAGTTTGGCAGCAAGGGATTCACGACCCTGAGTCTGAAATAAACAAGTAGATTCAGACGATATGGTTTTCAAAATCACAAATTATGAGGTAAGAACCTCAATAGATGTGACATAAACATAATGACACATATAGTAATCTATTCTCATACGTTTTCAGCTCTACAGTTCAGTTCAGTTCAGTTCAGCTGAGTTCGGTCAATGAGAACAAGCCCTAAGTCAAGTAAATAATAATTTGACACTAGTAACTCCAACTTACAAATACTAAAAGACAAAATAGGAAAATCAAGAATTACTTGCCTTCCTATCTGCTCTGGCATATCCAAAATATGGAATGACTGCAGTGATAGTTTTGGCTGATGCTCTACGACAAGCATCTATCATTAAAAAAAGCTCCATTAGATTTTCATTTACCGGAGGGCTTGTGGGTTGAATGATAAATACATCACACCCTCTCACACTCTCTTTCAGCTGCACATTAATCTCGCCATCTGCAAAGCGACTTATCTTCACTTTTCCCAGCTCTATACCCATGTACCAAGCAACTTCCTGAACACAACAACCATCAAAAAAATTGACAAATCAAATATTGGGATTATAGACACCAACATTAACATTGTTTCAGCCAAACACAATGATATAAACTACGAACTGACCTTAGCCAGAGCAAGATTTGCTGTCCCTGAAAACAGTTTCAGCCTTGTATCACTCGTATTTACAGAATTCTCTAAACGTCTCGAGTGCATCAACTTTGGCTGAGAATGCTCGTCGAGGATTGGGAAAGGGAGAGATGGTCGTCCATTAACTGTCTCCAACGGCTCTGAACCATTACATTTCTACAAGAGTGTTACAAATTACAACATATCACAAAACCAAATCATAAGAAACTTGATTCGAGCCCTACACTACACACCACTCAATCTCATATAACCGATATTTGGTAACTAAAACTAGTTTCAAACAGATACTCCCTCCATTTTTTTTAATGCATTACTATTTACTTAATTTCAGTTTAGTTCAGCCCATAATAGTTCAATTCAGCTCAGTAAATATGAACATACCCTAACAATCACTTTGATTTAACTAATTAACAATTAAAGATATTAATGATTAAAGTTACATCTCGATAAATATGCCGTATACAAATAAAAGAAAACAGAGTGAGTACCAAATTATGAAAAGTGACATTTTTTTTTCAAATAGTTAAAAAAACTACAGTATATGTCACTATTAACTCCGAAATAAATAAGGGCAGTAAAAATTAAAATTCAATAATTAATTAAAGACTTAAAATATAAAGAATTTTTTTTAAAAAAAATAAAAGACATTACAAAAACATAATTCAATCGGCTTCCATAACTGCATATTTTATAAGTGATGAAATTAATCATCAATTTAGTCGCACAAAATTATAAAGTTGAATTATAACATTCTTCAAAAAAATATAAAAAAATACCATGCATTACACCAAATTGACACCGGAAAAAATCATCAGAAATCAGATATGCAACCAAAGTTCTGGATTTCAGAATTGATACATTCATATAAATCGCAACAAAAAAAAAAAATAAAGACTTACAACGGTAAAAGGGAGTGAGATGCGACAAGGCAGCGAGCGAGGAGGAGGGGCAAAAGTAGGGCAAAAGGAAGTAGAAGAAGACGAAGATGACAAACACCGAAGAGCCATTGACGCCATTGTGTATGTGTAATGTGTATTTCTTTTCTGGTGTTATAACTTTGCTTTTCTAGGACTTGACACCGGACCAGGGTTGGGTGATTACGCCGTATATTTTATTTGACCACTTAACTAATTTTTTTTCGATTGAGGATATGTTGGTGTAACTCATCTATTGAAACGATCATATGAGATCTTGGTGTGGATCTTGAGAAAAAAATAATCGGTTTATGGAATTAATTCTATCTAGATGAAGAGACAACATTGTTAAAATTTACGATAATATTTCAAATATCTCATCCAATACTTTTGATGTCAAAGATCATTTTTTAGAAAAAAGGGTCAAATATTATCATTTTTTAGAAAAGGAACGTGTTCCCCTTTGAACTACTCCGTATGACTATGAACCTTGGCGGAGCTTGAGTTGAATTAATGAAATTATGTGCTTCTTTAACGTCAGATAGGCTCGTAATGTAAATTTTTTTACGGTAAATTATAATAAATTTATTAAATATAAATAAATTGTAAATATAATATTTTATCCATTATATTATGAATAAATTGAACCATGCAATGTTAGTAAAATTAAAATTGATATAAATTTAATCTTTACATTTATATAAAATAATCATTATTTTACCAATAAATGAAAATTATTGTCATATAAAATCAAATCTTTGCATTGGAATTTTTAAGCCGATGGGTCTTGGACTCTTGGGCCGAAATCTTAGCCAGTAAGACCGTTTCACCAAGTGATTGATAGATACTTGGCCTTTTGGACTTGGTCGTCTGATAAAAATATTTTGGCTTTCAAGCCGACCTTTACCCATAAGCCCGTTTAATGGCCCGTTAATACTTGAGCATGAGAGTTCACAGTTTTGCCTTAGCCTTGAATTTGCAGTCTCTCTCCTCCAAACAGAAGGTATTCCAGTTAACTCCTTTGATTTCTTGTTTATAAGCTCAATTTTTTTTGGGTTTGAATTGAATTTAGTAATTTTGAATGTTTTTCTTTAATGGGTTATTATTATTATCATCAATTTGTTGAAATTGTTGCTGGGTTGTTAAGTTAATTCTTCAAATTTGAGCTAAAATGCATAAAATTTCAACAACAAGAAGCCAATGTCTAATATTGATGCAAAAATTGGTGAAAACCCCTCCTGTAAAAGCTTTTTTTCTGTTAAAATCTTCAGTTTTACATGAAATGGAGCACACCCATGATTCCATTGATTTGATTCTGAGTTTCCTAATTAGCTTCAAATTTATGCCCCAAGCCCAGTTTTTTACCCTTCAACTGCTTTCTGGTAGAATTAAATCATCTTCACCTTTGAATGCTGCGTCAATTGTTCAGAGTTTCACCAAGAATTACCCAATTTCACACCCCATTTGTGTTCATCTCCAAGAAATCATCTTTAATGCATATGTTGAAGCTAAATTGCCTGAAGAGGCTTTGAAGTCCTTCATTGAGATGATTAATCACGGTTCAGTACCGAGGTTGAATTTGTTTAATTCATTGTTGATTCTTCTATTAGAAAGCAACCATCTTGAAAAGGGTTGGTGGGTTTTTAATGAATTTAAGGGTAAAGTTGAATTGGATGTGTATAGTTTTGGGATTATGATTAAGGGTTTTTGTCAAGGAAATGATTTGGAAAGGGCTTTTAATGTGTTGGATGGATTGGATGATGTGGGAATGTCTCCAAATGTTGTTATTTATACCACTTTGATTGATGGGTGTTGTAAAAATAGTGATATTGCTAAAGCAAAGGATTTGTTTAACAAGATGGAGGAATTGGGATTGGTTGCTAATCAGCATACTTACACTGTTTTGATGAATGGGTTATTCAAAAAAGGGCTGAAGAAAGAAGGGTTTCAACTCTATGAGAAGATGAAGGATTGTGGAATTTTACCTAATATTTATACCTACAATAGCATGATGAATGAGCATTGTAAAGACGGATTGTTAGGTAGAGCCTTCTTGTTGTTTGATGAAATGGTTGAGAGAGGCTTGGCGTGCAACATTGTGACTTACAATATATAGATCAGTGGGCTGTGCAAGGAGAAGAACCCGTGGGAGGCTGAGAATTTGGTTACAAAGATGAAAAACTATGGCTTGAGTCCAAATTTGATCACCTATAATACCCTAATTGATGGATTTTGTAACATTGGGAAGTTGAGCAAGGCTCTGAGTTTATTTGGACAAATGAAGTTGGATGGTCAACTGCCAACTCTGGTGACGTATAATACTCTTATTTCAGGTTTCTCAAAATCTGGAAATTTTAAAAGGGCTACCAATTTAGTCAGGGAGATGGGGGAGCGAGGTATCACCCCATCTAAAGTGACATACACAATTCTAATCGATGCAATTGTTCGTTCTGGTGATATGGAGAAGGCATTGGCGATGTATTATTCAATGGAGAAGCTCGGAATGGCAGCAGATGTTTACACTATTGGTGCCTTGATAAATGGATGGTGTAGCAAGGATAGGATGTTAGAAGCATCGAAGTTGTTCAATTCTATGGAGATGATGCATTTACATCCAAGTGATGTGATTTATAATATGATGATTAATGGTTACTGCCGAGAGGGGAGTTCTTACAGGGCACTGCGGTCACTGAGAGACATGAGGGAGAAGGGGATGATTCCAAATGTTGCTAGCTACTGTTCAACTATACACGCCCTGTGTAAAGACAGGAAATTAAAAGAAGCTGAATTTCTAGGTGAAGAGATGTTGAGCTTAGGTCTGAAACCATCAAACGCAGTCTACAATGTGCTATCTCTAGCAAAAGAAGATGATAGATGATTTTCCTGTCATGCCACATGAATAGGCCAAGATGGAAATTAATTGTTGGAACAAGATGGAGATGGATAACGAGCTCCTATCATAGGGGAGTCAGAAAGAGGTGACAGGGCCTCCAAATCAGTGTGGAACTACACAAATGCTCTCTCATGATCGAAGTCTTAAAGCTTGATTCGTTTGTTGCTTGGATCAAATTGGTGAGTTTACTGGATTTTTGCTGTTAAACTGATATTTTGCACATACATTTACTGATCACCTACTTTAAACGTAATTTTCTTTAGAATTTTAGTCTGTTTTCTACTTTATTATTGTTGCTTCTTTTTATTGATGTTCACTAAAGCATGAGCTTAGTTTTGTCATAGTTTGGATTATTGTGAGCAAGCTGTATAGCCTGTATTTTAGCTAGTTTGGGTATATCGTATTTATAGTTTAGTTTTATTAGAGCACGCTACTAGACTAAGAATGGTGTGTGAAGTGTGAACCATCAAGACATCCACAAATATGAGATGTAGAACTGCTGCTGCTTTTTGTGAGTGTAGGCTACAGCATAAACAGAGTAATGGAAACTGGTTGCAGGAGGTGGAGTTAAGAGACAAACGTTTTCAGTCTGTGTAATGCTATGGGAAAAATAACGTGGTCAAAACTCAAAAGTAGATATAAAGCTTAAGAACTGACTGAGTAACTGTACAAAAAAAAAGCTTATTCTTAGTTTTAGCTCCTCTTCTACCCTGCTACTAACCACCCTTCTAAATATAGATAGGGACGAAATTCAAGTATGAAGTTAGTTATATTTTAATTATTCTCATTTCAGTTATCTTGAAAGGTGTCTTCTCATGGAATAGAAAGGGTTTGTTGTGTCAACTTATTTATTTAATGCTCCTGGGGAAAGTTAGACTCTTCTTGAAGAATCTCTCTTAAAAAAATGCGACCTCAGTGTCATCTAGTAGAGTACTGTTTTCTGTTCTCTGGCATTTAGTAGAGTGATGTACAAATGATTGAGAAAGTCTACCTCCTTCATGGTCTAAGATAACAAAGGGGGTAGACTTAAGGAAGACCCAAGACAATGACTTTACGACATAATTACATTGGCAGGGAAAGAAAGATCAAACGTCTTGATTTTCTGAAAGATAACTAGTTAAGCAATGTCAAGGACAATAATTAGAAGCATCTTTGCACTAAAATATTTTGTATTTGGTGAAACATTAAAAATTATTTTTCCAATTATAAATGTTTATGCAGAAGCTTCTGTTTGATTGATTATTCAGCCCTTCAAAAATTGTTCTCTTTCTTGCCAAGCAGTACGCGCAAATTGGTAATTTCTGAAATTCGTACGGATTAATAAACTTCAGTTTGTTAGGTATTGTTTCTGTATATTTCTGTGTTACTGGGTATAGTATAAATCTTTTGTGTCATTAAATTTCAGGTCAGATCAATGGCTAGTAATCTTGCCAATGAAGGTGAAGGCAGCTCCCGGTTCAAAAGGAACCTTGATGGTTGGAAATTTCCGAAAATCCCCATTGATCAAGTTTACAAGAAACGTATGTTTAGGATTTTTCCAAGCTATGCTGTAACCGATTATGAAAAAATCATCACCCTGAAACATAAATTTTTGCACTTGGGTCTTGTCCAAATAGCTATCAAGCCTCTACTGAGAGACGGGATAGGAGCTCCAGTGGTAGTGTGCCTTAGAGATGCTAGGCACCTTAACTGAGAAAACTCTTTGTTAGCACTTGCTGAATGTAATCTATTTCAGGGTCCATTCTATTTCAACTGTTTCCCTGGCTTTTCGGCATCCTTGGCTGATTCTTCTTCATTGCAATCCCTTACCTTGTATCTCATGACGAGTGGAATACCTTTGGCAGTGACATACAGGTTAGTGTGTAAGGCAATGGTGAATTTAAGTTCAGAGGCATTACAGGAGCCGGTTTTGGGAGAAACAACTTTTATCCATCCTAATATTGGAACTCGAAGCATTACGAAATGGAATGAGTTGCAAGTCCCAGAATCTTGGATGCGTAAAGAAGAGCCTAAAGAGGATGGGAATTTTTTAGAGAGGCTACCAGATGGCCGCCACATATTGAGGTTTTCGTCAGCTAGAGGAACAGATGATGAGTATGACGAGTATGATGATGAATAAAGGTGAGTTGATGAAATAAATTTTCAATGCTTGCCTCAAGCTCCTTGGTTTGTTGCATCCAACACTGAAAAGATATTGCAGCCCCTATAATTTGTTGATGTAGTGTACCTGGGCTTCAGGCATGTATCATCATTACCAACCTATATTTATAGACAATATTACTTTCAGCCTGTCATATTTTGTTCATTTTGATGTCAGAATGTAACATACATTAATTTGCAATTTTGAGTGATGATCACCTTAGAATTTTCATTTTGGCATACATACTGTGATTGCTGTCTATTAATATAATCTGCATCTCTCCATTTTGATTATCAAAATCGTGGCTAGCTCAAAATCTCTCAAAATATTTTTATTTTCTTACTCCTTGGGGTCAGTCGGTCAGAGCAAATAGTCTTTGATCCAAAAGCCAACAACAATCTTACGCTAAACGCGTTCCAAAATAATAGGTCATATTTAAGATTTTGCAAGCTTAAAATTAATTTTGCCCAGATACGCCCAATGTATATTAGAATTCTTACATAAAAACTTAAAAACGGCCCTAAATCGACTGTGGCCTAATATGAAAGGTTTTATAGAATTTTTTTTTTAATCTTTTTTTTTTTTTTTTTTTTTTATTTGGCGATATCATTTAAACAACAAATACTGTATGAAAGCTAAGAACAAGATACATAACAAAATTGATTGCTCATAGAAAATAAATCAAATGTGATGATTACATGTTACATGATTTGAATCATGTTACAGATGATTTTCAGCTATTTTGTCTCTAAAATATAAATTACAAAAGAATGTAAAGGGTGCAGTAAATGTATGGTTGCCTGTTCAATTTTCCCCGCATGTATAAAGTATAAACATCCAAATCAAACAGAAAGTTTCCAAGGGAATTGAAAAATCATTCCCAGAAAAATCCACATCCCCATCTGATTTTCCCTGTATATTTCATGGGATTCCAAGCAATACTCTTGAATCGCCGGAGGAAATAAAAGGTTTTTTTCGAAGGTTAACAGTTTCAGTATATGCCATAAACAAAAGAAGTTTAGTAGTCAAGTTTAAGGGAAAGTAAAACCCCCACCAATGTCGGCGTTCTGAGCACCACCCGGGGGTTTGATTGCAACCCATAGGAGGGAAATTGTGATGGAAATAAGACCTGCCCAGACGAAAACGATGGTGGGTGTTCTTCCTCTTCTTCCCATGAGCCCCTTGGCAAAAGGATAGAGATGAGCCAACACCCAGAAACTAAAGAACACCCCTCCTAGCAGCTTGCTCCACTGTGGGATGGTACTGTAGATAGTACGACTAAAACCAACCGCAATAGCGACCAAATTAATCATAATGATAACAAGAGGAGGAATCATCAGAGAAGTCCACTTGACAATGTACAAGTCAGCATATTCATCATCGAGGTCGTCTCCAGCTGATTTTGATGTCAAAGTGAAAGAAATTTCGATACCAGCAACAACCTTCAGCAGACCCTGAAGCACAGCAGCAAGATGTGCACTTGTGCCTCCAATGAGCCAAAATTGTTCATTCCTCCACCATTCTTCGAGGTTGATGCCTGACCACTTGATCTCCAGAAGTGCAAGCAGGCAGAGAGATAAGGATATAACAAGGAGGTATATGAGAAAGGTTATGCTCAGGGTTTGGACAATGAATTGACCGGAAAATAGGGATAGTGCAGGAAGGAAGCAGTAGACAATCAAGAAAATTGAGGTGAATGGGTAGATACCAACATTAAGGTAAGCAATTCTCTGGAGAACCTTCATGCGGGGGCTGGCTAAGAAGGCGTTGTTTCTAGAGAAGAAAATCTCGACTGAGCCTGTGGCCCATCGAAGGACTTGGTGAAGTCGATCTGTAAGATTGATGGGTGCAGTACCACGGAAAGCATCCCTCTTGGTAACACAATAGATTGATCTCCAACCTCTATTGTGCATTCTGTACCCTGTGACCACATCTTCCGTCACAGATCCATAAATCCAACCAATACGACCACCCCATTCGGTCTTATCTTCATACCAACAAGATACGACGCTTATGGCCTCAGCAACTGTAGAAGCGTCCAAAAGGTCCCGAGGGATGGTTAGAGCACCTGGTGGTCTGCCATTCCTGATAGATGGGTGATCAGCGAGTGGGCGGCCTTGGAACTCTGCCACTGGAATTGAATCAACAAGAAAGCTTGAGTTGCCAAATCTTTTGGGAAACAAAGAGACGTCCATTTCTTCGTCATCATCTCCCATTCTTAGAGCTCGATTCTCTTCAGATGAAGCATCAATTGCAACACGCTTCTTCTTCTTGCGACCAAAGCAGCAGTCACAAAAGCCACCATGCTCCTTGGCTCTAGGTGGATCAAAACCATACAGGGCAATCCTGCGGAAAAGGCAACCAGTTCCGACATAAACTGGGCCCTGAAGCCCGTCAAGAGCACGCATGTTGATGTCAAAGAAAACAGTGTTGTGGTTGGCATAACGATCAGAAGGGTCAATGCCTTCAAACCTCTGAGGGAACTGGACGTAACAAATACGATCCCCACCACGATCCATCATGAAGCACATACCTTCTCTAATGGCTTCAGAGTTGTAGATATAGTGATCACAATCTAAATTAAGAATGAAAGGTCCATTTGACATGATTGCCGAGGCACGAACAAGTGCATTCATAGCCCCAGCCTTCTTGTTGTGGTCATAACCTGGACGTTTTTCTCGTGAAACATAAACCAGCATCGGAAGTCGAATATCAACTTCACTATAGTCAAAAGGAATATCATCACCAACTGATCCTTGAAGAGGTTCATCACTTGGAGGCTTCAACATAACCTGTAACATAAAAATGAAAAATCAGTCTATGACTCGAAAACTGCAGGGCAATGCAAAAATGAAGTCAAAGAACTTTCGAGTACAAATCCAATGAGAACAAGCTTACTACTCCCTCTATCTCTAAATAAAAAGGTCTCATTTGGTTGGAAGTCATTCTTATGAAAATAAGGTATAACCCCATAATGTTCCTTCATTATATAGGAATTTAAATAGCTACCATGCAGTAGTTGCTTTTCTTTCAACTTCTTAGTTAAAACTTAAGGTGCCATTATGGGTACTATGGAAAGTCAAAATACAAATTTAAACAAGAAATCGGTCTATCATTTTGACATGGCCTAATATATACATGTGGCCTATTATATAAAGTTCTCATGCGAAAGGTGAAGGATTATTTTTCTTTAAACAGGAAAGGGGTGTGAGTGCAAGGAAGAAACAGCCTTCTAAACATGCGGTTGAGGATGTCTACAACCGACAGTTCCTAAACCCCGCCCAGGAAGAACACTGTCACAATGGGTGGTGGTGGTAGTTCTTGTATAGGAGAGCAATATTATAGCGAACACCACTCATTGTGACAGTGTTCTTCCAATAACAACAATTTTTAAAGTAAATGGAAAAGTTGAAAATGAAAGATGCAAAACCAAAATCCAGTACCTGTATGATTCCAGCATGATCACCCTTTGAGTGATCAGGTGCAGAATTCAGCCAAGTACCAGGCCAGTGGGTTCCATCAGCCATCCAAGTAGCTTTTTGAATTTTTATAGGTTCCAACGGTTGATCTCCTGCTTGTTCTCTCTGCATCTTCAAAGCCTTAATTTCTTCTCGGGCATTGTAAGCATCAGAACGTCGTCGAATTGAATCAGGAAGACCGTTGACACGAACCTTGAATTCATCATACTCACGCTTAACACGACGGCGATCCTTGACAAAATCTACTTTGACCTTGTTCTTGTAAGGATCTCTTTTCAGACTGAAGTAAGAATCAGGGTTCCTTGGCTCAATATTATGTTTCCGACAAAATGGAATCCACAAGTTAGCAAAACTAGCTGCTTCAGCCATTGCCTCAAAGGTTAGAAGGGCACCTCCATCGTCAGAGACATAGCAAGCAAGCTTCTCTACTGGGTAGTCAGCCGCAAGAATAGACAGAATCGTATTTGCAGTAACAAGAGGGGGTTCCTTTTCAGGATCAGCAGTAGAAACAAATATATCAACACCTGGAAGATCAGATTTTCCAGTAGGATTGTTGGGGCCGGGCAATTCAAACTTCTCTTTCAAAACATCAAGGTCAGTAACACGATTAACTGGGTTAAGCTTAGGGAGTTGATCAAGGACCCAAGAGAATGCAAACCAGATTTCACAAACCACAGACAAGCCCCACAGCCACAAGGCATCATTGTTAGGGTTCTTTACCCTCCACGCGAGAAACAATGCAAGAACAACCAATCTGATGAACACCAGAAGCCTGAAAAGGGTTTGCTAATTAGAACACAAAAACCATCTTATGATCAACGTTGTCTCAAAAATAAAAATGCATAAGCTGGTTGCACTGATGTTGAAGCAAATAATAACACATTACCAGAAAACCAGACTAAACTTATAATTTGAGTACCAAATTCAGTAACTCAGTGCAAAACATATCATCATTACACAATAGAGTCAATACTAGTGAAATAGCAAACCATCTACTCCTATACTTAATTACTAATGGTATAATAAATCAGAGTTTTTAGTTACTATCATATTCGACACATATTCTTATGAGTTATTACAAATTATTTGTGTTTTTATAATAAACCTCACAAAGTGTCAGCTTGTGCTATTTGTCTTGACCGGTTTTTGAACATCTCAAATTAAGGCTAAACCACATCATCTGAATGTCAACTTGCTAAAAAGGCAGAGGAAATTTCCATTATCTGATTGAAATTTAGTAATCATGCAGCAGCAATTCAACATTTGCTCTTACACAACAATTCAAGGCACAAAACAAGGTTTAATCAACTGCATACTTGAAAAATATCATAGTATAAAATTAATTCAAAATTTGCAGACATGGATAATTTAAACACCAACACCACACACACACACACACACAAAAAAACAAAAAAACAAAAAAAAAAAAAAAAAAAAAAAAAAAAGCAAGAGAGAAAAGAAAACCATCTTTGCAGAAATATTACATACCTATATGGGCTGATGACTGCTGCTGGTATCTTCAACTTTCGAGTAAGAGGTCTCCACGGTTTGTTAAGCAACTCGAGTGGCTCATGACCCTCACCATCACCATCACCATCTCCATATCCCCCTTCCTTCGGCCAGATAGCATTGCCATAACCATAGGTACCCTTAGTCTCAAACAACCACCTGTTATGATCAAACTCTGCTCCACCAGTCTGGCTCCTCATATACCCCGACTTAGTAGATTTCATCAAAGACATCCGTCTGTCTTGCTTTGAGGGTGGCAATGGTAAAGGGCGTCCAGCAGAATCCACCGCCTTCTCATCCAAATCGGTATGCTTGTAAGCCTCTTTGCACCCAGGGCACATTGCATCACCTCCCTTAACAGCATCAATGTAACAATCCCGGCAGATCTTAAAGTCACATTCACACGGAAGTATATCAGCACCTCTTTCATCACTCATCACCTTCCCATCACAACCATGGACTTGACAAGAAGACCCTTTAGCCCCTGCCATTTGAGGATGGCTTATCTCTGACTCCGTCACCTTATCCATCAAATGTGCACGAGTAGCACTATTGAAACCACCCGTAAATAGAGAATTCGACACATATTGCTCCTCCACCCTTTGAGAGATAGTAGGGTCCATGGGATTATTATCAGGAGTAGGAGGTATAGTAACTGTGTAATTCATAAACTCCACACTCCCAAGCTCACTATCAAGATCATCTCTTGATAGATTATCATGCACATAGCGGCCTGAAGCGGTCCGCCTAGCAAACGTTACCTGAGGTTGACGCATCGGTCTCGCTGGAGGAAGATCAGATGAATCAGACAAATTGGATCTACTTGGTTTAAACATCTTCTAACTATCTCAACTCTCACCCCCTTCCACCCCAAACAATGCCAATTACCAAATATTTCAATCAAATTCTAACAATCTCAACAATCTAACACCATTGAAACCATCATAAAAACAATCTCAATTAAAATCACCCACTAACCCTCCCAATTGCTATTCTTTTTTTCATAAACTAGCAAAGAAACACAACCATATATTATACAAACATCAAACCATATAATATATGATACCAAAAACAGAATAATTTATCAATCATCACATTACAAATTTCTACTCTATACACTCAGACATGTTGCCCATTACCTGAGATGATTCTAAATATTATGCAATTAAACAAAGCAGGCCCCACCTAACACCCAATAAACTCAAAAACGTGCAACAGTCAATAACCCAAAACCCATTAAAATTAGGAGAGAGAAAATAATTACCTGTAAACTGCAAAGGTTGAACTCCACGACTGATCAACTATGGTGCAACCTTTGTTAATTATATAAAAAAAACCCAGAAATTATATATTCCAACAAATTAAATTGTATATAATATAGTTTTAATCTTCTAGAAAGCGTGTCTTCTTCTCTCTGAAATCTTCAAACCCCCCAAATTAGTTGCTTTCAATTGCATGACATGCACCCCAAATGTCTTCAACTACTTCAAATTCAAGTAAATTAAGAAATCTTAATTACAATTAACTTGAAATTAGACTTAGTCCCAACTAATTAAAACATGAGACCAAGTACTATCCCAGTATCCCACTTCTATAAACTAGCCAGATCTTTAATATATATAAAATACTCTGTTTTGATTTGACTAAAAGTTTCGATCTTTATACAAAATAAACGAATGATTTATAAAAATAATTTGTGGGTGATTGATTAAAATAAGTAAAAAGGTTTGATTAAGAAATTTGTGATTGAGTTGGGTGAAGAGGAAGTAAGCAAGAAAAGACGGCTGAGAAAAGGTGTGGGGAAGAAATTGAAAGAAAAGGAATTTACGGCTTCAACGCGGCTGTAATTTGGACATCCTCCCCCTTTAATTGCAATATTATTTGGATATCCAAAAATGTGAACAATGGAGTCAAATTATGATTTTAGATTTTTAGGACATTTTTCGAAGTTTTAAGACATATGTTAAATACTTTAAACAGATTAGTTTGGTCATGTTCGGATTAATATGTTGGGCTTGAAGTAGATTTTGGTTGAGTTGGTTTATAATTTCGATTATGAGTTTGAAAGTTACATGTTCAATACGCTTTCTTACTCTTATTAGTTTTGCAAGCAACTAGGTCAACTTTCTTAATTTCGGGGTTTGAATTGTTTTTCCTTGGATTTGAGATTTTTTTAAGATGTTAAGTTTTGAGATCTTGAATACGAATTGACAAATTTCAATTATCTTGTCAAATATATTGGCAACAAGATGTATTGAAATAAAGTAATTTACCCAACAAAGTATTCGTGATGAAGTAATTCTATTAAATGATACACTAGCTAATAAATATTTCTAAAATTATAGATTTTTCCTTTCTTTACCAATTTACTTGACAAAGTATTCCTTTTTTTTTTACAAAGACAAAGTATTCTTGAATGATGCGATTTACTTGATAAAGTATTCCTGAATGATGCAATACGTTTATACTACACTAATTTTGACATTGTTCATTTTTCAACACTTAATTTTTAATAATTAATACGGAGTATCTCTAAATAATTGTATGTTTAAAGGTATATGAGTATGTATAATTATATGAAAACAAATCTTACATGATGTTGCATGCCTGTTCTCATTGACTGAACTCAGCTGAACTGAATTGATCTGAACTGAACTGAACTGAGTTGAGCTGAACTGAAATGAAATGAATATTTTATAAGAGAAGGAAATTAGGAGCTGAACTGAACTGAATTGAACTGAACTGAACTGAATTTCAACGTATGAGAACAGGCCCTAACTCTAAAGCCCTGTTTGATTCACCTTAATTTTGCTGAACTGAAATTATTTTTACTGAACTGAACTTATTTTTACTGAACTGAAATTATTTTTACTGAACTTAAATTATTTTTACTGATTTTCTATTATAATTCTTCTTTAAGAAAACTGAATTTTACTGAACTGGACTTATTTTTACTAAACTGAAATTATTTTTATTGAACTGAAATTAATTTTACTGAACTGAAATTATTTTTACTTAATATTATTTTTTAAGGTGAAGAGAACGGGCCTTAACATGATGTTGCATGCCTAAAAATCTAATATGAAATTACATGACTTTGTTTTCCTTAGGTATATAGTCAAAATGAAGTAGGTAAATACTAAATAGTGCTAAAGATTAATACAATACCAAAATTTTGTAAATAGTCAAATTGTCAAATAACATGCTTCCTTTAATATGGTTCTTTATTTTTTTCATATTTACATATGTTAGTCATTATGTATTTTATTTATGCACCGGTTATTTATGTATTTGATTGTAAGTTAATTAAATTAATAATATTTATGCACGGGTTATTTATGTATTTATACACTGGTTATTTATGTATTTCATTTATGTATTAAAAAAAAATGAAAAATAATCATCAAAATGAAAACAAAATACTCATGAATGTACGGTGCATCCGGATGTATATAACAATCTCATCAATAAGAAGGAGTTTTTTAGATACATAAATAACATGACGATATGATTAGTTTAAACGTTAATTAATTTAGCATGTGGTTGTGTAATGACATGATGACATAAATTGATAAATATGATTAGTTTAAAAGCTGAAAAATGTAACGCGGCTTTAGCTAAGCTTTCAAAGGCAACTGGACATAAGAGTTTACAAACTCACACATATTAGCTGTTGATGACTATTCTCACATTCAAGTCTAGTAGTGCCATGTACATTCAACGGTCTACTTTATTAAATCTAACACGCAAATTAAACCACCCAAATTACAGTACAAAACTGATCGTTATATCCCGCGAGTAACTTTTTTAAATTAAATTTCTTTTATATATTAGTTATAATACTCCATAAAATATAAATATACAATAGTGAAAAATGTTTATAATAAACTAATAATACAGATAATACAAATTACGCTACATAACTCTAATAACATTATATTACACTCATTGACACGTATATTGCAAATATTGACACGAACTTGTGTTACTTGTTAAATTAATACCAACTTGCTCAAAAAAGAACAAAATTGACACTAAAGGCACTAAACGTTCAATAATACTTTACATGACATCTATATAGTCTTATCTTTCCAACATATTAAGAACTCGTACTTTTTGAAGCAAATGATTGTTGAAAATAAATTTAATTCTTGTACAAGGGTTGAAACTTGAAAGTTACGTAAATTTAGTTGTTAAGGGTAATTTATGTTAATTTTTTAATTTTTGTAGCAAGTTAGAGTCAAATTAGCAACTGATATAAGTAGGGGTGAAACAAATTTGGTTTAAAACCAAACCGAACCAAAAACCGAACCGAATTAGGAATATGGTTCGGTTTTTTTCTTAAGTGGTTCGGTTTCGGTTTGTAAAATCAAGAAACCGAAATTGTATGGTTCGGTTTCGGTTTCGGGAAATGAAAACCGAAACCGAACCGAATTTCGGCCCATACTATATAAGGCAAAAAAAAAAAACCCTAATCACTCTTCTCAGCCTCTCACTCTCTCCTCTTCTCTTTCCGCCCTTTCTCTCTCCTCTAATCCTCTTCTCTTTTCTCCATTTGTGAGCTTTCTCCCTCTCGGTTCTCTCTTTCTCCTTTCCTCTTCTTATCTTCTCCAATCTCTAGTTCTCTACTCTGTCCTTTCTCTCTCCTCTTCGATCTCTTCTCCACTTTCACTCTCTTCTCCTCTTCGACAGTACGACCAAGGAGGCAAGGACGACCACCTGGGCACCAGTGTTCACATTCTAAAGGTTTTCATGTCAAATTCGACCATGAAAACACTAGATCTAGTGTTTTCATGGTCGAATTTGACCTTTAAAACCCAAATTCGAGGTTTTTCGGTGGAATGTGAGGTATGTCCTCTTTTTCTTTCTTTTAATTTGGTTTGAGTTTTTTATTTTTATGGTGGTGTATGATTGAATTGTGGTGGTGGTAGGTAGTTTTGGGTGGGTTTCGGGTGGTCAGGATGGATGGTGGGTTTCTTTAGTTTTTGGTGGGTGGAGGGGTGGTTTTTGATGGATTCGGGTTGATGCATGATGAGTGGGTTTCGGGTGGTTTTTGATGGGTTAGGGTGGATGGCGGGTGGGTTTCGGGTGGTTTTGGGGGATGGGTGGTGAGTTTCGGTGGTTTTGGTAGGTTAGGGTGGGTGGTGGGTGGGTTTTAGGTGGTCAGGGTGATGGGTGGTGGGTGGGTGTTGGTGGTGATAAGGTGGGATGGTAATAATTAATACCCTGGATTGGTTTGGTTTTGTTTGGTTCGGTTTTAATTGGTTTGGTTCGGTTCGGTTTTTTTGCAAAATTTGATGTTCATGAGGCTTGATAGGAAAATTCGGTGCGGTTTGGTTTTTTTTAAGAAAACCGAAATTTAGGTGGTTTGGTTCGGTTCGGTTTCAAAGAGAAAGTGGTGCGGTGTGGTTTGCAAAATCAAGAAACCGAAATATGGTGGTTCGGTTTCGGTTTGGGCCAAAAACCAAACCGAAAACCGAACTTTCACCCCTAGATATAAGTTGATATCAATAATTGCAAAACTTCACAAAGTTGGTGTCAATGATTGTACTTTTGTCTATAACTTTCTAATACTATGACGATTCAGATCGATGTAGACTATAATAAGTTTTACCTCCAATTACATTAAGGTACTAAAGGCCGGAAATTTCACTAATCTTACATATCAGGAAATCATCACTAAAATCGTTCAAACATAAACTAACATGTTTTATAGGTCGCATGATTTAACATTAACGAGTCACATACACAAAAGTACGTAGAAGGATAAGTATGTTCGCATACATATATGACCTTTTATCGTTAGGTCGAGTCAAACTTGACACATTGGATAGTATATCGAATTATGGGCATGATGGGCATGTAGTTAAAGAAACATTCTATGGTCGTGCCTTGTGCATGCCTATTTGTTGGATTGACAAGGATGGTATGTAAAACTTTTAGCATACAAGTTACTAACCTTTTTCCTTAAAATTGGGCCTACTTAATAAAATATATGGGCAATTGGCACCAAGAGTGTGATTACTGAAGAAAGTAAGAATCTATGATCATTCCATGGCGGCCTACGTAAGCCGCATATTCAACATCTCATCGGATGTTTTTGTTCCTTAGTTTTACAAATAATCCAATAATATGTTACAACTTTTAAAGTTGGAATCTTTGGCTTTACAATATTTCTTTAAATTACACCAATTATGCAAACCTTTACTACAATTTCTAACTTGCTATAGTTTTAATTATTCTCACCTTATCAATTAAAATTTGAATTTAACTTTATTATTGATAACATTGGATGTAACTTACATGGTGTTTAGGGTGTTTGCTCGTAGAAGAACTTGCTCTACATATAGACATATAGTCATATATACCACATGATCATTATTCCAAAGTACGATCTGATCATCACAAATCACAATAGTGCTACACTAGATTGGTGCACGGTATGGTGCGGTATTAATTTGTTAGTCCTTTAAAAGCTCTTGTTTCAACGACTTTAATTTTTTTGGAAGACAATCACTGTCCAAACAAAGAGAACTTTTAAGGAGAGTAAATCATACTAAAACGCATAATTTTCTTTGGGTTAGGAGTTGTTTATTCCTTTAGGTATTTCAAAGTCCTTACCTAATTTTTATTTTTAATTAATCGATTAGATACAAGAAGGGGTCCCCCACTCTATATTACAAGAATAGGGCCATGAGGATCGAACCCCCACCGCTTTGGTTGGGGGGGGGGGAGGATGGAGGGACAACCATCCCTCCTTAGCTAATAACCTTAATATAAACAAAATGTTTCCTATTCTATCAAGCATAATTTCGAAAACATTTGAAAGATCCTGGCTTCGATCTTGAATAACTCTGATTTTACTCAGATGATTACCACATATTACAAGAAATAGAGCTGACTGTGGGCATCAATTC